GCCGTCCGCAAAATGTAGAGTGTATAATGTTGTATCGTCGTCAAGTTGGATCCCCATTCCTGAAGGATCTTCTCCAGTGTTTTAGTGCTTCATTTAAATAGGTCTTAAATAGTATTGGAGAGAGGCAGCCTTATTGTCGTAAGCCTTTTGTTACTGGAAATTCTTCTGATAAGGTGTTGTTTAGTTTGATTTTTGATGATGCTTTATTGTATAATTGTTTGACTGAGGCGATGATCGTGCTATTTAATGAAGATCGTTTAAGAGACTGCCACAGCTTTCTCACAGGAATCGTGTCATATGCTTTTGTGAGATCCACAAATAAAAGATGTATTTCCTGGTTTCTTGCAACTTTCTTTTCATACAGTTGTGTTAGGGTAAATATGTGGTCTACGCAAGATCTTCCAGCTCTAAATCCTGCTTGCTGTTCAATTTCATGAGGTTCGTATTCTTTCTCAATCATGTTTTTTAAGATTTTACCAAACAGCCTGCTAAAGGTACTGGTGACAGAGATACTGAGACAGAGATAAATAGAGAGAGTATTTCTTATTGTTGTTCTATATTTTCATATAGGTATTTCCATATTTTAATCAGTTTAGTTGTTGCCATTCTGGCCATTGCTAAAAAAGCTTTTAGTCTACGCTTGATTTCTAAGAGGCAACGCCATTGTTGGTAATCAGAGAGCCCAAGTTTACAAATCTGTCTTATTTTGTGTGAGGTTGATTTGTATTTACTCTGTCTACGATCATTATTTTTGTGTTTCTGGTGTTGGGTATCGCAGGTTGCTGATTTTTTCTGCTTCCTATAGTGATCCCTCCATCCAATTCGTCCAGTACTTTTCTCCTTATATATTCAGAATATACTTACTTACACCGTGGCGTTACAACCCTTCGTGGGGTTTAGCCGACCCGACAACATGCCTCCACTGTTTTCTGTTTTCAGAATATACGTTGTATAATAATGGTGATAGATGACCATCTCACACGATGGTTTGTAGAGTAACTGGATGAGTAGGAAATAAAAACTTACCCACCACTTAGATATTTGGGACCTACGTTACTCTAAAAACTAAGGCTTCCAGAAGACTGGAAGGGTGTGTAGACTTGTAGGAGTTCGAAAAATCCGACTGATTAGTAACTACACAGGTGCGCGGACTCAAGGATCCCAAAGGGACCGGCCAAAGCTCGAATATGGCGGACACTACCAATCAGATACACCCTGTACAATTAGTAATCACTATTCGTCAAATATCATCAAACGAATATGGATTTCCAGATCTACCAACGAGGAGGTTTGTACTAGGATGCTTTCTTATGGTAAGGATGAAACACGACGTTCACCCAAACGCAAATAAAACCGAAGGGCCACTCGAAGAGGTTTGAAAGGCTCTTTTGCACTCACTTCGGCCAATTACGTCTGGCGAACGACGGGCCAAGCAAAACCACCTTCAGAATATACGTTGTATAATAATGGTGATAGTATACAGCCCTGTCTAGTTCCTTTCTTTGTTTTGAATGCATCTGAATATATTCCGTAAACTTTTTTAGCTGAGTTTTTATCATACAGGTTTCTTATAAGGTTGTGTGTGTGCTGTTGGTTTCTTTTGACTGTGGACTTAATCCATTAGCCGAACTAAAATTGCTCTTATAATATATCTTTTATACTCATTATATTTATGAATATTTATAACCTATTTGATAATAATGATTTACAATATTAATTTACATATATTATACATCTAGGTGGTTAGGTACTCCCATATTACTGAATCTAAAGCCTTTGTGTAAACTAGGAAACAGACTATTCACAGGCCTACACTTTTTTTATGAAAAAGTGTTTTAAGTTAAGTTTATTAGATGTTCTATAGTAAATGGAATGTGCTGATCACGAATTTGTACTTGGATTTTTTCCAGCACGTCAGGTTTTTAAAAAAAAAAGTGTATTTGAAAGTTTTCATATATAGTTACTGGCAAAAATACTAAAAAATATTTATTGAAACTTTATTTAATATAAAATTACACTGCACTGAGTTGTTCTTAAAAAAATGAATTCAGTATAACGTAGGTTAGACAATATTTGGTTTTTTTTTTTAATAAAACCGTTTTCTTTTTCCATGAAAATTGCGTTTTGTAGTCTTCTTTTTATGGATTTTTACAATCGAGCCTCTCTTCAAGGTCTAGCAATAATCAGCCATCATTCTTATATCCTATCTTCCTTCTTTGGTTACGTTTATCCATTTCTTTATACCTTGATGGAACCTCTCTCCCTGCTCCTCGCTGACAAGATTTTTGGGAAAATAGTCAACCTGGGAATCCAGAAAATAAAGTTTGACGCTCATATTGCATCCCAGTTTTTTACAAATTTTCGACCATGTGACGACAATTTCTTTATAGTTTAAAGACTTGTTGTTTCCAAGGAAACGGTATATGACTTCTACGAAAGAACAACATGCTTCAGATTCATCCTCGGTCATTGTATTCTGGAACTATCTGTCAGATTTTAAGGTTCGAAATTGAGGGCCTACAAAAATTACTTCTTTAAATTTAGCTTCAAAAAGTGCAAACAATTTGTCGCATAGATATTTAAAGCAGTCACCTTGTTTATCTAAAGTTTTGAGAAACTGCTTCCTCAATCCCAACTTTATGTAAAAAAGAGGCAAGGCAAAAGAACTAATTTTGGGTCAACTAGTGTATAACGTTGCACATTTTTTTGTCTCGGGACAAGTCTTTCTCTGAGTTTCCACTCTTTCTTAACGTAATGTAAATTTCGTAGTGGACCTTAAGTTACTACAGGTCCAATTAGTGTTTTGTAAATAATTGTTTTAGTTTTTCTGTCCATTAATTTAGATACCTTTAATCTTTTATTTGCATAGTGGGCACGATTTCCACTAGAAATTCAACGTACGTTCTTAACTTCCATGTTTATCTACATTGCAAGTAAAATATCTTTTACATTGCGGTTTTTGAACACTTTTATCAGCCAGGGCGTCCCATGTTTGTAAATCCCGTAGTTGTGTACTGCTTCGGGAATTCTTAAGTCAAAACAATCCAAAACCTTCAACTTGTCTGTTCAAAGGTTAAATATATTTATGGAATCATTTTATTCGCTGTTTAAATTTTAATAAATGTGGAAAACGATATATTTTACATATTACAAACAAAATTATTGGAGTAACATTTTATTTTACTAAAAAAGAAATAGTATATTACTTTATGAGGCGGAGAAGTATGACTTTTCTTGAAGTCAAGAAAAGTCGCTTCTTTGCCGAATAAAGTATACTATTTTTTCTTCAAACGTAGCAATTTTCAACTGTGACAACTATCAAAGTCGTCTAGATGTTAGAAATTAAAATAATTAAGTCGTCGGTGGGATTTGCGTCTCCCTGGTTACAGTTGTTTGACAGTTGTTTGCAATTATTAAAGACAGCTTATTGTTGTTGCAACCGCAAGCGCAAATTTAGTGCGAAAATGGGAAACCTAAACGAAATTGAGTCCGCGGCTAATGATGCAGTAGTACGTTTGGGGCCCTCCAAGTCCGGAATAGAGTATCGGTTAGCGTACAAGCACTTCCAAGAGTGGTGCGATACAAGAGGAGTACGGCAAGTTACCGAAAATGAAAATAAATGGAAATCTTCTACAATGTGGTCACGATACTCTATAATAAAATCCGAGTTAGTTATTAGAAAAAATGTGGATATATAAGCAAATTTTTAAAGTTACGTGCCTTTCTGAAAAAACCAAGCGAAGGATATACTGCAAAGAAGTCTAAAGTTTTCACTAAGACGAGTTTGATAAATTTTTGTTTGAAGCGCCAGATAAGTTGTATTTAGGATTAAAGGTAAAAAAAATTATATTGCAAAGCATGTAATGTAATCTACTATTGTAATTTACATGTAATCTACTAAATTATAAAAATATTTCAGATTGTTTTGTTAATTGGGGTTACCGGCGCCTGTCGATGCGATGAAATGGTAAAAATGAAGACTGTGGACATTGAGGATAAAGAAAATGTAATAATTATCAAAATCCCAGACAGTAAAACACGACAAATTAGATCTTTTACGATAATTGGTCAAAACTACATTAAACTGTAGAAAAAGTATGCATCACTGCGGCCTGAAAATTTCACAGAAAACCGATTTTTTATCAAGTAGGTACCAAAATGGAAAGTGTTACCGAAGCGTCATGGGAATACATTCGATCAGCGCAGTAGCCCAAAAAGTAGCTAGTTATTTAAATTTAAACGATGCAAGCGCATATACGGGTCACTCTTTACGACGAACTTCAGCAACACTTTTAATTAATGGAGGCGGAAATCTAGAATGCCTCAAACGACATGGGGGCTGGAAATCAAGCACGGTTGTCGAAGGATATATAGAGGATTCAATAAGAAATAAGAACGATAATGCTCAAAAAATTTTAAACCCTCATGATTCGCCAACATCGGGAATAATTGCTGAAAGTTGTTCTCGACCATCAGTATCATCAACAATTACCAATGCGTATCAAGAGTCGGGAACATTTTTGCACCTAGCAGTGGACGCATACAGGTTGATAATGATGATGATGATATCGTAGTGGTCCAGTCCTGCGACTTAGTGTTGTACTAGTCGGATGCCTTTTTGAAGTCGATGAAGTAGCCACACTATTTCGTGATTCACTTCTTTGTAACATAATGCACATACAAAACTCTCTTGTATGCAACACAGTAAAACTTTTTGTAAGATTTGCAATGACCTGTTGGTCATTTCACACTTTTCTATTATGTGTAATTTTTCTACTTCACTAGTTATTAAAAATTAACTGGAACTAGCTATAAAAACACTACAACACTCATGCTTGATTGCATGACAGTTTAATTACTTTTTAAAAATAAGTTGACATACGCCATATAATAAATTTGTTTGTTAGAATACTGCTAAAAAATATGTTTTTGGACTTTTTCAATATTAGCCTGTCTATTTGATGCTTGTATTAATAAAAATTACTTTTATTTTATTTCAGATCAATTGGAATTTCATTCATAGGATGCTTTATAGACCACCTACCACCAGAGTCTGCACTGAAAAAAGCTCAAGATCTTATTGAAACCGGCATTAAAAGAGGATCTATAGACCCCGACTACAAATTACTAGGCCATTGTCAATGTTCAGGTGTAGAAAGTCCTGGAAGACGATTGTTTGAAGAAATACAAACTTGGAAAAACTGGGATAAGTCAGTTGAAGTATCACCATCAAACTTTACCTTGGTAATTGACGAACCTCCGGATGATCCCGAATCAAGCCAATAACTGTGATATTCCCCATATCGATTCAAAGAATTGTTTTCATTAAGTTTTTTACTGCGAAGATATTGTTTCATACGTTTTCTTTTAGGGATTATACAGATAGACATTTTTGAATCGTAAATCACTATTTTGATCTCATTTGCATTTAAAATGAAATGCCTTGTATTAGGGATGTGTAGTTCACCATCGAAATAGTTCTAATGAACGATTCTTTCAACTGAACTAATTGAACTAGTTCACTGCGAACGATTTGCATTATAAATTATGTCTCAACTTCTAAAGAAGAAAATAATGAATGAATGAATTAGAACATATATTTATTATTTTGTGAATGGATGGACTAACTAGTTTTAAAAAAATGCCGATTAGCCTCAGATAACAGATTCATAATTCTTATGAATCTGACAATACCATAAGGTCTTATCTTAATGTCATAATGGTTTGGATCTTATGCCCATGTATTGGCTTGGATGTTGCCATGCTGTGTTGTTTCTTGTATTGTAATTTTGAAATAAAAATTTTAGTTGTGGTTAAAATGATTGAGGCATTTACACAAAATATAATTTTATGTAAAAGTGAAAATGAAAATGTGTTATTTAATGTTCCTAAAAAATTCACCGATTTTTTTTGTAAAAGTTCTTTTAGAAATAACCTAATTATAAATACCTTTGAGTTTAAATATACGTAAATATAAAAATAAATCATACTTGAACCATATTTATATTTAAAACGGTTAATATAAAACAAATCTTAATAATTTTTTGCAAATAAAAACTAACTACTCATATAATAATTTAAACCATTTAAACCTAAACATACTATCGAAAGAAATAGTTCCGAACTTCTTGTACGGTAGTGAACTAGTGAAAGACTGACTGAAAGAAAGAAATAGTTCCGAACTACTTGTACGGTAGTGATAGTGAAAGACTGACTGAAAACCGAAGTAAACGGGCGGCCAGCGCCGAGCTTGTGTGATGATTGAGACGAGATATCTGGCAACCAGTTCTGTTAGGGTTGGTTTTCGATGTCGGTCCTATAAATAGTTCTTTCGCGAACTAGTTCACTGAACTAGTTCATTTTTGTGAAATAGTTCTGTTGAACTAGTTCGTCCAAAAGAACTAATAAGCACACCTCTACCATGTATTATAAAGGTAAACTAAAAAATTGTTGGTGGATTCGACCGTTACTTGTTGAAAGTTTATTTTATCTAACAATTTTTCTTCTCCCTCCTCAGCTTTTCCCTTTTCAGGGGTCGCTGTTCCTTACTCTTCGTCGCCATTCAAGTCCTCTGACACACAGTCCTTCCATCGTCTTATCGGTGTTACCCTTCCACCTGATTATCAGTTCTGAAAATTAATCAATAAATATTTTCATATCTAATTGAACAATTTTCTTAAATGTAGAATTAACGTTGAACAGTATACTTCGTAGGAAAAGAAATATAGTAATACAAAAAATGTAATAAATCAAAATAAGCGGAATACCATAGTTTTAAATTTTCAGTTTTTAAAATTCGAAATAATTTTTTGGAATTTAAATTATTGGTTTGTGACTACCAAGTAGTTGTTAATTTTTTATTATTACTCACGAAGCGTCTGTAGCCTAGTGGTGAAGGCACTGACATATTAATCCAGAAGGCACGAGTACGATCCTCGGTACAGACAACGAAATTTTGTATTTCTTAAAATTATACGAGTCATCATCGTGCGTCGAAGGGCACGTAAAGCCGTTGGTCCCGGCTACCTAGCGCGACTGAAAACCGTAAAACCAAACCTTACACCAGAAGGTTACACACGAACTTTAACTTTTACTGTAAATTACGCCATATTTTGTATCTTGTCACTCATATTTTATAGTTTATAATAAGGTTTAACCTCGTTAAGAGCGTAGGCGCAAAATTTCGGGTCAATGCTTTTTAAATGCATTCATTTTTTTCAAATCCTGAGAAAACTAATAAGTATTTTTGAAAAATTTAAACGCAGAATGCAAGATTACAATATTACCGATGGCTGAAAGTCACTGAAAACTTCTATAATGCTTATTTTATTAAGTTACAGGCGTGAAAAATAAGAGAAAAAGAGAGAAGTGAGATTTTTAATTTCATATAACTCATTCAAAAGAAACTTTTTGTTTATTCTAAGGGACTTTCGGCCTGCGAAAGCCTGCTTTCATTCTGCGCTTAAATTTTTCAAAAATATTTATTAGTTTTCTCAGAATTCGAAAAAAATGAATGCATTTAAAAAGCATTGGACCGAAATTTTGCACCTACGCTCTTAAATGCATTTCTTACGATAATATGTTTTTAGAATATTTTTCTGATTTTAATAAACCATATTTGATAAAAACCTTATTTGCGTTTTATTTTCCAAGACCTTAGCCCTTTGTCACCGACTTTTGTTATTCCTAACATTTATATTGTGAGTGAAAGCTTTAGTTAACATTAACAAAAAGAAGCATTTACAAAGATTTAAATTTTTTTATATCACATTTGGAAAAAATCACCTTGGGATAAATGAAGCTACTTGATATAATTTATCATCATTATCATTCTGGCTTTACAACTTGCGTGGATCCAGCATGCAGTCCAAAGTATTCGCAACTTTCTTAAATATACCTACATTTCAAATGCCTCAAGTCTATTCAGACTACTAATTTTAAACTTTAACCCCATAAAAATTGTGGAATATATACACACTTGTTTTTGGTGAATTTTGAGAATGTCATAACACCCTTGTTTAGAAAAGCAGACAAACTGATCATACCTATTTGGTGATTTTAATATAAATTTTAAAAATGAATTTGATCCTTCTTTAGATGTTCAAAATGTATTAACATCTTTTGGTCTAAAAGTAACTTTAAATGATTATAATAGAATCACATCCTAGTCCAGAAGTTGCATTAACAAAATTATGACAAATTTTTGTGAAAATATTTGTTTTTCTGACCATCGAGCTCAATTTTCATTTATTGAGTCTGAGCATAAAGTTGTTGACGCTAATCAAACATTTCGGTTTATGGCTTACCTACTGAAACTCATAACGACTTTATGAGAAAATTAAAGCATTTTCCACTAAAAAAAAGTACGACAACCTGCTGAAAAAACCACCCGTGCAATGGTTTAATAATGAATTAAGGTCTTACAGATCTAATCTTTCTCTTAATAAACACATTGCAGATGTCACTAAGGATCCCAATTTGTTCAAAGTATATAAACAACATTAACATGTTCAAATTTGAATATAAAATATAATCGGCAATTACAAATTGCTAAAAAGTCAGTTTACTGCAATTTTATTACTAATTCCAATAATAAACCTAGAGACTGCTGAAAAATAGTAAATTTAAAAAAAACAACACATGATCCAGTTTGGTACAACCTGATCTACCTCCAGACGAAATAAATAATTTTTTTTACTACAATTGCAGAGAATATAATTCAATCTCTTCCCACTATTAATGTCGATTCAATTATAGACATTATCATTTTTCGAAGTTTTTTGTTTTCGTCCCGTTGTGGAAGAAGAGGTCTGTCAAATAACAAAGTCTCTTTAAGGAGAGCATATCTGGATTTATTTCGCATATGTCCGAAGAATTGTAACTTTCGAGATTTAATGTTGGTCAGTACCTCTCGGTTCTTATTCATTCTTCTGAGGACCTCCTCATTTGTGACTCGGTCAGTCCATGAGATCTAGGTGTATGCGACATTATTCTCTAAATAAAAAATAATAATAGTAACGTCATTCTGGAGTTCTCGCTGCTTGATATTAAGCATGTTTCCTTTCTTTAATTTTTGTTTAACTTCTGAACAGAACCATGGGGTTTCCCTTATTGTTCTATTTCTATTGTTGTTATGAACTGTTTTCTTGCCAAGAGCTTCACACATCGCATTTTTAATATTTCTTGAGTTTTTCCCAACTGAGATCATTCCGTCTTCTTGCATTATTGGCATTGCTTTAATTATTTCTGTTAATATCTTTTTATAAACATCTTTTATTGTGGTGTCCCTTAGTTTTTCTATATCGTGGAAATACCTCATCTTAGCTGATTAGACGGTGTTAAAAAGATTTGAGAAAGCTGGGACTAGGAGGGTTGCAACAGTAAGCAAAAAGTATTAATCAGCTTGGACAAATATATTTGGCCGAAGCAGGTGCAGCGTGTGTTATAACGCTATGGAGTAAGTAAATAAAAATCTTTAAAATATTTACATCTTTATTTATAAATTTTACACTACTCTTTTATGATACAAAAATAAAAAGTTGCAAATGTACCCAATAAATTTCTAAGCTTTAATAATAATTACGGTATTATAATTTGATCAAGCCGAATAATTTTTGAGGACAAGCAGGCATTTGACAACTTTTCTCTTCCATTTCTGTTTCAGCTTCACGACAATTTTCACGACAATGCCTCCATCGAATGTTTCTGCCTTTTCCACAACTGACGCTACAAGGCGACCACTGAGTCCACTGGTCCCATCGGGGTTCCGTACTCTTCGTTGTAGCAGGCACTATTTGAGTAGATTTGTTTTTAGTGGCTGAAATATATATATATATATATATATATATATATATATATAATATATATATATATATATATATATATATAATATATATATATATCATATACAGTATTGGAAGATTTAAAACGGAACATACGGATTATTAATACAATTAGTAAGATCCCCTGACCTGCAATTACCCAGAGTAAGTTTCAATATAACATCGCGATGTCTTATAATTAATTCATTTGTTCGACTGGATTGCTACTCCTTCGCGATTTCTAGTAGCGTATTCGGCAGGTGTACGTCGACACTGTTGTCCATCGTTAACTGATTTTCTGTGTTTTTGTGCAGATAATAACAATGTTTTTTTAATAACAATTTTTTTGTGTTCATTAGATATTATTTGAATTGGTTAGTGTATAGTTTAATATATTTATTATTCCAAATATTGTTGATACTTTAAAATTTAAAAGGATGTATATGATGATACATCAAAATCTACAGATTTTTGCCGAAGGTATCTACCGATTTGGCAACAGTCCCAAGGAACATCACTGGCCGAGCAAAACAAATACATGCCCTTTGCTTTGTGTTTGGTAAGGTGCGCACGTGCGCAGCAGTCGAAAAATATCGACTTGAGAAGGAGTCCAGTCGAACAAATGAATTAATTATAAGACATCGCAACGTTATATTGAAATTTACACTGGGTAATTGCAGGTCAGGGGATCTTACTAATTGTATTAATAATCTGTATGTTCCGTTTGAAATCTTCCAATACTGTATATACCATAAATATATTAATAAGAACAAAAATCAGAAAAGCAAAAGAAAAAGAAGAAAGGGAAAGATGCGAAGAAATTAAGACTCTGCAGTCAAAGTACGATAGTCGCAATGTACATAGGAAAGTTAAAGAACTCACAGGGGGATTAAGACGAAGGCAGAAAGGAAATATAACTGATTCTGACGGAAACATCATCTTGGACAGAGTAAAATAAGAACGTGGAAAGAATATCTAGAAAAAACTATTTGAAGACCAAAGAGATAACACCTTTGAGCTAGAAGAAGAGGTAAATAATGGACCAAGAATATTACAGCAGGAAGTTTATTCCGCAATAACACAGTTAAAGGATGGCAAAGCGGCAGGCCCTGATAATATACAAGCAGAACTACTCAAACTAATGGACAACAAATCAATAGCAATAATCGCAAAGATATTCAACAACATATACAACTCTGAAAAAATACCAACAGAATGGCTAAAATCTGAGTTTATTGCACTTCAAAAAAAAAAACAGGAGCCAAAAAATGCGAAGATTACCGTACTATAAGTTTGATGAGTCATCTCCCAAAAATTGTTCCTAAAGATAATTCATAAGAGAATCTACAAGCTGTGTGAAAGTCAAATTTTCTCTAACCAGTTCGAGTTCACAAATGCTGTTGGTACTAGAGAGGGTTTGTTCCCAGTACAAGTCTTTCAGAGATACAGAGACGTCAACTGCGACGTATACTTATGTCTGGTTGATTACGAGAAAGCGTTTGATCGAATACAGCACGCCAAGATGATGCAAATACTAAAAGAAGCAGGAATTAACAACCAAGATCTGAAAATAATTAGAAATCTTTACGAGAATCAGACAGCAAATCTCAGAGTTGAAGGTGAACACACTGACTATGTGAAAATCATGCGTGGAGTGAGGCAAGGCTGTATTTTGTCTCCTCTAATCTTCAATCTGTACTCTAAAAAAATATTTATCAAAGCTTTGCACGAAACTGAAAAAGTTATTCTACTAAATGGTTACCGGCTAAACAACATGAGATATGCAGATGACACCATAGTATTTGCAAACAACTTAGAAGACCTACAAGTTCTTATGAACAAAATTAGTATTACAGTCAACACTATGGACTCAATATAAACGTTAAGAAGACAAAGCTTATTATAATTAGCAAGAAAAGGATAACAGAAGGTCAACTCTACGTCAACCAATCTCCTGTAGAAAGAGTGACGCACTGCACTACCTCGGCACCATAATCTAAGCTAGATCCACCTTCAATCGGATGGTGGCATTATTCAAGAGTCACAACCTCTCTTGATACAAAATTAAGAATGCTGAGATGCTACGTCTTGTCTGTCCTTTTTTATGGTGTTGAATCGTGGGCCTTGAACGAAGATATGTGCAAAAAACTGATTTCAGATGTGGCTATATCCAAGAGTACTTAAGATCCCGAGGACTAACCGAGTCACAAATGAGGATGTCCTCAGAAGAATGAATAAGAACCGAGAGGTAATTAAATCTCGAAAGTTACAATTCTTCGGACATATGCGAAATGAGTCCAGATATGCTCTCCTTCAAGCCATTATGCAAGGAAAATATTTGGAAAGCGAGGTCCAGGAAGAAGATCTTGGTTAAATAACCTCAGAATCTGGTTCAATAGTGCAGCTTTTCCGCGCTGCTGCAGATAAGATTATGCAGGTTTACACAGAGTAAGCAGAAAAAAACAATGTTGTATATACTGGATATATTATAACAGTGTTGCACCTGATTACTATGCGATGTTTTGGCTTATTTAGGTTTTTAAAAAAGTATCTAATATTAATAATAAACTATAATCAATTAAAAATGTTTGTTTAATATGTTTTATATGCTAAGTACACAGTTTAATGCTCCTTAAATTTAAACTTAAAAATAATGTCCCATCCTATTCTAATTGTTCATAAACTCTCGGTATTCAGGTTTCAGGTACTGGCACGTATCCCAGTAGATTTTTGCGTTTTTCTTCTTTTATTTTTATAGGCCGGTATACGCATTCGGCAACACATCAATTTGGTAGTTAAATGCTCTGATGGGTTGTGCAGCCCATTGTTTATTCACAAGTGAGAATGTTTGCCAAGGTTGCATGACGTTGTGAGAAGTTCTAGCTATTATTATTGTAGGAGAATTTGAACCAACAGTACTCAGTGATCTTACATGTGGGATCTTTCTATAAGTAGTTCTCAGATGCTAAAAAGGCTTTGAAGTCTTTTTGTTCCATTGAAGGGTACATTCACCATTGCTCTTTTTTCTTTTCTCTCTATGAGCGAGTCACGGTCGCAAGGTGAGAAGCTGTGATGGCTAGTTAAGAGCTTTTGTTTTACTTAAGTGAAATATCTATTCACAATCAGCAAACGGAACATGGACAGCAGTCTTCAGTTATTATTCTGACCGACGCAACGGTCAGACCAGACCATAAGTTTTTTATTTCTCCTGAGTTCAATGGACGAAAGTTTTATGTAACACAGGAATGCTGAAGCGATATCTGTAGACCCATGATTACCAATAGATTCATGCCACATCATAGTAGAATCGTTTGAACCTGCATCGTGAATATCATAGTTGTGAATGGTATACTGACGTTGGTAAAACACTGAAGAATGAGTCAATGTTGGACAGTACAACACTTGCTGAAGATAAGTGAAGCGTACGACGAGTTGTGGATTAGCCTTTTCAGCATCCAACTTCAATGCTTTGTATCCAGCCTCAGCACGTGCATGGTGGAGTTCACTGTCAACAAGAATAGCATTTCTTTCTGGACCATCTGGGGTAACCACAAGTTTTATATAGATTTTATCACAAAACGTACACGTATCTGAGCAAAGGAGACCACAGCGCAGATTAAAGTCTAATTGAAATATGTCAGTGTAAGTGGGCCGGGAAACACTGCATTGCGGATACTTTGCACAAAACAGTTTGTACATTTTTTTTTCAAGTGTAATTCAGCAGTAAGTCAGTTCTTCGTAGATGCAGCGCGACTATAATGGTTTTCTTGATGTGAAAACGACTTTATGTGTTCGCTTATACGTTCTTTGTCGGTTTCGTTGATTTTATTAGGCCTATTATTATGTTTTCTACGTTGATCACATAGCGGCATATCTGTTTTTATCTTCTGCTGAATGTGTTCTTCGAGGTGTGCTTGACATATCAGTTTTTTGGCGCTCTGCCTGGACTGAAGCCCGAGACTAGTGCCGTTTTCTGAGCAACCTCCACTCTGTACATAAAGAGGGTACATGATATTCAGCTAGCATGTTCGACAGCCAGATTGAAGAATGACGAAACGAGTCAATCGCTTTTTGTCTATAATTAGGTTGAACCTCTGTAGATGTTAATATATATGTAAATGAAAAATTGACCACTACATTTTCTAAACAATCACATTCCGGTTCGTAGTTTTTATATTATATATACCCTTTCTATGTGCAATGCTTTATCTCGTTGTTTTTATAAACTGTTTCTTGGTACAGTTATTCAAAGCACGGATGCATTGACTCAGCTTTGGTATTGAATGATTTACTTTATCTCGACAATTCCCTAATTTGTGTTTGATGTCGTTTGCCTTCTTCATCTTCTTTTCGCCCTTGTTTAATGTTTTTGCTAATTAATAAAAACAATATTTACAATTTTTATTGATTTGTTTTCCTTATCGCCCCCTTTCGTCATTGCTCTTTCTATTCCTAGTTTTTACCGCAGTATTTTAGCAGTTTTCCAATCAGTTTGCTCGTTAGCAGGAAATAATTCATACCATAACAATTATTGGCTTGTATACAAATTAAATGTATGTCTACATATTACGTATTATATAAATAAAGGAAATTGTGTGATAATATATAAACAGATACTACCTTTTTTATCTTCCCTCTTTTGAGACTTTTTAATATCCTGTGTCTGTAACCAATTACGTTGCGATGTAGATGCAGTGATCACATCTCTTTTAAATATTAACTTTTCTGGTAAGTCAATATATTTCTCTTCATCTGAAACGTATTTAAAATAATAAGGTGATAATACTTAACACAACGCACCCCAACCTTCTAGAAAATAACCAACATGTATATGTAGAAGTAACAAAATTATGAAGAAACTAGATACCATCAAAATATGATAATCTGATAAATAAAAGTCGAATTGGGCTTATTTTCGCTCTATTTTAGTATATTATTTACATCAATGTCAACACGTCAGATTAGTATGACGTTTCTTTGTCATTTTAAGTTTAAGTAAAGATCGGTTCTATTGTAAACAAACCTACCTTATAATATTTTATACTGTTCCTACCACAGCTTACTTTTAACTTCTTAAAATATTTCTGGATACTTTATAGAATAATTTAACTATTTGAAAATACTAAAGAAATATTAAAGCTCGACTTTTTTATATGAACCTATCATCAATATTAATGCTTTCTCATGTCTTCTAATGCTTTCTTATAATCTATTGGCGATGTCAAACGAAAGAGGTTTATTGTGTTAAAAAGCATATTTTTGAAGCAGAACTTCAAATTGATTTTGACGTTATACTGATTTTTCCCTATAGCCAAATACAGATCGGCGTAAATAGTTGGAAGAGTCAATTTATTCAAAAAAGGAGAGTCCGTTATAAAACATGTAAACATTTCATTTAATTAGCTACACGAAAATAGTGAGAAAAGTTCATTTTTAACGTTAGTTGTTAATAAATTCATCTCAAACTATGCTCAAAATTTATTTTTAAACATATTGAAGCATAGATAGAAATTTATATTTTGTGCATGGTATACCTATCTCTTTCAGGCATTATTATTGATAATACTAATTGATTTATCACATAAACAGTATATATGTGTCGAAGTATTAAGTGTGTACCGCACAATCACAATAACTTTTCTCTCACGGTTTATGTTATTCTCACGTGATTATTTTAACTGTACCTTACCTTTCGTGTTGTCTTATTTTATATGTCTTAAGGTTTACCTGTTCCTCTCAAAATAGGGTGGTGCCAAATTATTTCTCGTTCTTTATCTTCGAACTTCTCTTCGCTTTATCTTCTAACTTCTCTTCTCTTTACCTTCTAACTTCTCGTCCCTTTATCTTCAGTACTTCTCTAACTGACTCTTTATATTTGAGCTGTAGTAAGAGCCCTGACCAAGAAACCTCTACCAGACTGAAGCCCGAGCCTAGTACCGTTCTTTGTGTAACCTCCACTCTGTCATTAAAGAGGGCACACAGAAAGAAAATGGCGGCCAACGTTGGGCGCCATTTTCATTCTGAAAAGGAAGAAAGAGAAACAGCAGTACAGGTAGTAGTAAATAGCAGAGACGAATATCAGAGAAGAATAGTAGAGACGAATGTAGAGGCGAATTGTAGAGACGAATGTAGAGGCGAATTGTAGAGACGAATTGTAGAGACGAACAGTAGAGGCGAACGGCAAACAGAAGTGACTTCGTTTCTTCGAATAAAAGACGTCTGTTTGATAAAAGAGAAAATAGTTAATATAGGAAGCACTGTGTGAATATAATATATAGATAAGTGTTAATTGAAAATACACTTACCACCGTATGATGAAAAACAAACCTATTGTCACACGAACCAACTCGGAAATAAGCCCAATTCTGATCTTAGACGAGCTAAGGATAGAAAACGAGTGGGACTATTGGCCGAAGAGTGCCACGCGAAAATGATACTTAAATAACAAGGCTAGTGTGGTCGTTTTTGTAACCTAAACACTTTCTCTGGATAAGATATATTATTTCAGCAAAAATCAACATCTCTGCTTTTCTGAGAAAGTAGACCGGGTATTCGACAATAGGCACTGGTTCCTTTGTTACCAGGAAGGGTTTCTATTTAACAAATGTTAGATAAAAAGAGCAGAGAACATTTGGCGAACTACTTCGTTGTTAAAAAACGGCATGACAAATTGCTCGGTGCTTTTGGGTTATTTAAAGCTCCTAACAAAATCTATAGACATAGGCGGCGTGAAAGTAATTTTTTAAAGGGGATAATTTAAAGAAATTTTAAACATATAGTCTTATGATTAGAAGACCTACATACCATCTACTTTGCCTTATAATTCAAGGAAAAGTGGAGCGAAAGAGATGGATTGGTCGAAAGAAACTGTTACAATATTTACTCATTCACGAATATTCTAGGTCATATACTACCGAATTCTACAAAAGGGTCGGATAACCAGTTCAGTTACTAAGAATGCCGTCGGCGACGACTCTCTGAATTTACCAGAATGCGACTGACTTTTCGAGACCTGCTGGATGAGTCACCTAATGGATGTAACGTCATCGGTGCATCCCAGACTTTTCGAGATAACGGCATTTTATATATAAATACCATGGATTGGTATTTATACCAAATTGATAATAAATTAAGTGTAAAATAAATTAGTAGGAAATAAATACTTTGATAAATTATCGTGAGTTTTAATAAATTAGAATAAAGACCAATAAATTAGAACTATAAAAAATATAACAAAACTTTCATGGATGCGTAATATTGGACAATGGTGTGGTACCACAGTAGAAGAATTATTTTGCGCTGCAGCCGATAGAGAAAGGATTCAGGAAACTCAGAAAAATGATGACGACCAACGTCTAAATACGGACACGACACCTAAACAGGATTTAGTTTATATAATATAATATTTAAATTTTATTATAATTTAATATTTACTCTGACTGTGACGGGTCTGTCAGAAGTAAAACTTAGTTGATGCGTTAGAAGGTGACGTTAAGAGCAAACGTCATAATGTATTGAATGATTATAAAGTATTTAATATGAAATTTGTTTAAAATATAAATAGTAAATAAATAATGAAATTACCTTATTCAATTTTAAAAATATTTAAATTTTAAAATACAATAAACAATGTTTTATGAAACATTTAATAAAAATATACGTAACAGTGCCGTTTTAGCTGAAAAAATATAATCACTTACCTTAACTTTACAGAATAATAAAAATAGCTTTAAAATCTCTGGACACAGGAAAAACGAAGTAACACATCTTGACATTTTAAAATTAATTTATTCGTAATTAAATACTTGCGACTGAACAGAAATTTCCATTAGGTATATCAGTCTTCATTTTTTTATATAAAAGATTTGTTCAAAATCATTTACTAATTAAGGAAATATAATTTATTATTTATTTAGAGAGACGACTATAAAATTGTCACTAGTGGAAAAAAGAACATGTGCAGATTTTAACAACTGTTAAAAATATTGTTTCATGAAATAGAATTAAGTACCTAATACAAAACATTACCACTATTTCAGATGATCCAGATATAAAAATTTATATTAGAATTTTACTAAATTAATTAGGAGCCACACCAATAAATATTTGCTAAAATAATTTAAAAAGCTGTTATTAATGTCGACATTATGGACCTTTGGAAAATGACGTAGGCGTTTGGCATAAATTAAATCTGGCAAATGACGTATGAAATGTATGACGATGTCACAGAATAATAAACAATCAGAATGTCCACTCTCAGATGCCGCATTTGAAGTTTTTCAGCACGCGCGCCGTATTTTAGAAGGAAACGCATAACACAGACATATGATTTGTGAGGTTATGTAATAACAATGTTAATTTGTATACAATGACGTTATAATATATAGACTACGCAGTCCCCTATTCTCGCTATAGAATCGAGTGTCCGAAAGATCTCGGCTCAAGGTTGAAGGTATGTTTATCAGAACAGCGGCGTGCTCATTTATATGTTAATGACAATAATTATTTTTTTAATTAAAATTAAATATGTATGATTTCTTTTTGTTCCCGTCTATAAGAGAAATAATTATTTTGATAAAATAGTATGGCATTTTACTAAAATAGTAAGTAAATAACTCTCAACAATTTAAAATAAAATTTGCTTGTCACACAAATGGAGTAACGTCCATGATGTTTTCAAACACAAGATCAACTTCGTG